TGTTTTCGAAAATTCTCCTTGAAATACGGTGGCCTAACTTGTGTGAAAATTCGGCCACAACTCCAATTTTTTTAATACACGTCTTTTCTATGACTAATACAATACAAATCTACTCTAAAAACAACCCTCTCCTCTCAGACAGGATAAAGTGGGCGTGGCTTCTTTTTCTCTCTCTCTCTCTCATTCTTTCACTCGAGAACTGTTCAAGTGAGAGAGAGAGAGAGAGAGAGAGAGAGAAAAACTGACCAATGTCTGTCTTGTTATCGATGATGATTCATCTGATTGATTTGGAGAGAACGAAAAAGGTCAAAAGGGACTGGTTTGGGTGGGAAAATGTGTCTAGAATAGGAGAAAATGACTTTTAAAAAGCCAAAAATGCTTGGAAATCATGTAAAAGACAGCGGAAGCAGTTCAAACTTTGTTCTTCTTGTGCAATATGTTTTCGGCGCTTAAAGGGGATTACATAATTACCACAAGCACTGGGAAAATGGGGGTATAATTAAGTGTGTAGGCTTGTGAATATGTTCCCCAGATGTTTTCGAGGTTAATCCTTTTGTGACGTCTTCAGGGCAAAAAACGACTAAATTCGTAGAAAAATGACTAGAATTGGCTTAGAATAGTCTAAGAATCGCTGGCGCAAAATGAGCTGAAAATTACTGTAAGAAATACTAAAAGTGCAACCAGACCTAAGCTGTTAGAGCAGAGTATTATTGAAAAAAAGGAAAAGGTCCCGGAACGAAAACTACCGTAGTTTGGCAATTTTTCACAGGATGAAAAAGTAGAAGAATCACGGGATTTTGTATTGGATTTATTGGAAAAATGGATGACATCCATTTTTCAATACATATGACAGAATGCAATATGATTTTTCCCATTTTTCATTCTTTTTTTTTCGGTTTTTACAAGCTAAAAGACAAATTGAACATGTCACAATTTTATCAAAATGACGAAATTGACAAAGGAAAATAGGAAAACAGTTTTTAATATGGAAAACAGTGAATTTTGAGATTTTGAATTTCGGAGTTTTTGAATTTCTGAATTTCTGAATTTCTGAATTTCTGAATTTCTGAATTTCTGAATTTCTGAATTTCTGAATTTCTGAATTTCTGAATTTCTGAATTTCTGAATTTCTGAATTTCGGAGTTTTTGAATTTCTGAATTTCTGAATTTCTGAATTTCTGAATTTCTGAATTTCGATTTTTTTTTCGAATTTTTTCAATTTCCGAATTTCTGAATTTCAAAAATTTTGAAGTTTTGAATTCGGAAATTCCTGAGAATTCAGAAAATATCAAGAATTTCGAAACTAACAAAAATTGAATTTCCAAAAATTTCAAAAATTCAAAAAAATTCTGGAAAAATAATTGAAAATACGAATTTTCGAGAATTTCAAAATTCTGAAATTCTCCAGACTTTAAGATTTTGGGAAAAATGAAATCGAGTTTCCAGCTCACTGAGCACATCTCATAGTGAGAGACAATGAGAAGGAGAGAGACGCAGAGAACTGGATTCCTCTTTGTCATAAGGGTTTCAAAAAATTTTGGAAGATTGGAAACTCTGGGAAGAGAAGAAAATGTGCTCTACCGAACAAGACGAAACAGTGCATACGAAAGGACCTAGTAGCGGTTCAAGTACCTCTTCTTGGGTGGTCCATTTTCTTTTTAATGATCATTACGGTAGATGAGAACATGAGGATGATGGGAGGTAGATAATTGAGTGTCGATTTGTGGGAATACGAGAACATTCTCTTGGTTTGGGATATAGGTATGGAATGAGCAATTTATGGTAATTATCAGTGTGTCTTTTAGACACGACTTCGAGAAATTTTTCGAGATGGATTCATTTTGACGCGGTGGCCTAACTTTTGCCAAATGGCCTGACATTTTGGAGTTTCTGGAATTCTAGAAATCACCTTTTTTCAAAAAATTTAGAATTTCGAAAATTCAGGAACGCTCAGAATTTTCGAAATTTGATTTTTGGATTTCCGAGATTTTTGAATGTTTTGAACTTTCAGAATTTTCGTAATTCTAGAAATTTCCAAATTTCTCAATTTTTGGAATTTTTTTGACATTTCTCTAAATTTTCAGATCCAGACCTTTTGACCCTGGTGTGTTTTGTAGGTCATTTTGAAGTGGTGGCCTAGAAAACCAAAATTGCAAAATTCTCAGAAATTCTTGAATTTTGGAACTTTTGGAAATTTTAATATTTTGAAAAATTTCAAATTCTGGATCTGAAAATTTAGAGAAATGTCAAAAAAATTCCAAAAATTGAGAAATTTGGAAATTTCTAGAATTACGAAAATTCTGAAAGTTCAAAACATTCAAAAATCTCGGAAATCCAAAAATCAAATTTCGAAAATTCCAAATTTTTTGAAAAAAGGTGATTTCTAGAATTCCAGAAACTCCAAAATTCAAGATTCTGTAAAATCCAAAAATCCCAAAAATTCTAAAAACTTTGGATTTTTTCAGCGAATTCAAAAAATCCAATATTATCAAAGTTTGAAAATTCCACAGAATCCATAAAATTTGAAAAATCAGAATTCTGAAAATCCAAAATTCACCCAAAAATGAAAAAATATTTCAAAACACTTTAGAAAAAGGAAAAACACACGATTCTGTGTCCAACAGAGAGATCTCTATTGTATCTAGTATCCATAGGTATTCAACCAATCGACCCCAACGAGAGAGAGTATTGGATTTGAAGAGACGCAGACGTTCCGACAGAGAGACCTAGTTTTTAACCGCCAGTGAGAGGGGTCACTTGAACACTCTCTCTCTCTATCTGACTCATCACCCTCGTCTCTTTTCTGATCCTTTAGGCTTCTTTTTCTCTTTTTCTCTGCGTCTCTCTCATTTTTCATACTCTCTCTCTCTCTCGTTTCTTTTCTTTTGTAACAGTATCCCAATTTTTTGTTGATTTTAGACGGTCATCTTCCCGTTTTTTTTTGTTCCTTTTTTTTTTTGAAAAACGACGAATTTGACATTAAAAAGTGTATTTACAAAAAAGTTCAATCGAGCGAATTTGCAGTTTTTCAAATTTAAAACTTACTGCCTCGAAAATCGGTATTTTTTAAGGAAAAAAAATGAATGATTTTTGACAGGAATTGTATAGAAAACTCGCAGAAAAATAAGCTTTTTGTTATGTAAATTGCGGGAAAAATTTGAAAGCAAATTTCTTCGATTTTTCGCATTTTTTCGCGAAAGATTTCGATTTTTTTCGATTTCAAGCTTTTTTGTGTCAATTTCAATATTTCCTCCTTTTTGACACCTTTAAAATATCAGTTTTCCCCGGCAAGTCTTCCAAAAATCGAATAAAATTGCTGAAATTCGCAAACGCGCTCTATCGGCACGCGTTAGAGAGTGGAGACGCAGAGACAGAGTTTTTGGAGGGAACATCGAGAATTTCAATTTTCAGCAGAAAAAAGTTTTCAGCAGTTTTCTAGCGAAAAAATAGGAGAAATTGCAGAATTTTAGAAAAAATATAAAAAAAATTCAAAGATAAAATGCCTGAAAAAACAAAAAATCCAACAAATGTCGATTTTTTCAGGTTTTCACCGATTCTGAAAGATTTTCAGACAGTTTCAGACAATTTTCATACTATTCCGACTTTAGAAACTTTCTAGAATCTAATTTTTCACACTCGAACATGCCAAAATCAATCCCTCAAAAAATTTGCTCTAGTTTCACTTTTCCAGCTTCCTGCAGTTCCTCCAGGATTTCAACGTATTCTGAACGCTAAAAATACGATTTTTCGAGTCCTTTGCAGTTCTACAGTACTCTCCAAACCTTCTTTCCTTAGCAAACTCAGCCGAGCCACGACAAACACCGTTTCGGACAGTTCCCCCCTCCGATTTGTCTGCGTCTCTCCTCTCCACACACTCTCTCTGCGCCTCTCTCAATTCGGAGATATATTTGCACACATATTACTGCCTAGTAGAGCACTATGTGGCCAGTTTTGTTCACAGTCACTCATTTTCCTTCATAAAATCGATTTTATGGCAAATTTTAGGCCTAAAAACCCGAAATTTCAGGGTTTTCTCAGTGGAGCGCACTTGCAAAAAATGTCTAAAGAAATTAAAAATTACGTTCTACACAGTCTGGGGTTAATTTAAAACTACGGATTCACAGAAATTGTAAAAAATCCCCGAGAATTCGAATTTTTGGCGAAAAATTCAATAAATTTCGAAATTTTTTGAAAATTCTCAATAGAGCGAACTTGCAATTTTTGGAATAAAAAAAACCATTTTTCTAGTTTTTCTGGCCCTGCGGGACTCCCAGAAATTGAAAAAAAACACCGAAAATTCGAATTTTTGGCTGAAAATTTTCAAAAATTTCGAAAATTCTCAATAGAGCGAATTTGCACTTTTTTGGATTTTTTTGCTCTAAAATTTATTTTCAGTATTTCTAATCGTTTGAAGTTCACAGAAATTGAGAAAAAATCCCCGAAAATTCGAATTTTTGGCGAAAAAATCAAAGATTTCGAAAACTCGCAATAGAGCGAATTTGCATTTTTCATTCATTTTTGGCATTAAACTGCGTTTTTTACAGTTCATATCGTTTGAATTTTACAGAAATTGTAAAAAAAAATCCCCGAAAATTCAAGTTTTTGGCGAAATATTCAAAAATTTCGAAAATTCGCAAATTTTTATCTCTTGTTTTTCTCTTTTTTTCTCTATTTTTCTCTCTTTTTCTTTACGTCTCTCCTCCGTGATACTCTCTCGCCCTAGTGAGACGTGTACTAACTGTCTTGAGACCTAATTACATTGTTTTTCACATTTTCTACAGTACCCTCTTCAATTTCTCTTTTAAAAATTTCTCAAAAAATCAACTACCGTAATCCCGGGATTACTATACTTTCCTCTATTTTCAGAAAATGAGGGCAATTGTCCTATTAATTGGCCTTATCGCTTATCTAGCACTAGCTGAAGACTATTACGAACTACTTGGTGTCGATCGAGATGCCGATGATCGAACGATTCGAAAGGCATTCAAAAAGTTGGCAATTAAAAAACATCCGGATAGGAATACGGTAGGTTCAGTAGTCCTTAAATTTAAAAATTAAAATTTGGCGCGTTGAGAGCTTCAAAATGAGTATAATCATGGCTAGGTTTGGTGCAAGTTGGGTCTCTCCGCGAAAACTACAGTAATCTGACCGGAAATTCAAAATCGAGTAAAGTGGGCCATGACTCTCCCGGGTCAAAAGGTCTGGATCTGAAAATTTAGAGAAATGTCAAAAAAATTCCAAAAATTGAGAAATTTGGAAATTTCTAGAATTACGAAAATTCTGAAAGTTCAAAACATTCAAAAATCTCGGAAATCCAAAAATCAAATTTCGAAAATTCTGAGCGTTCCTGAATTTTCGAAATTCTAAATTTTTTGAAAAAAGGTGATTTCTAGAATTCCAGAAACTCCAAAATGTCAGGCCATTTGGCAAAAGTTAGGCCACCGCGTCAAAATGAATCCATCTCGAAAAATTTCTCGAAGTCGTGTCTAAAAGACACACTGATAATTACCATAAATTGCTCATTCCATACCTATATCCCAAACCAAGAGAATGTTCTCGTATTCCCACAAATCGACACTCAATTATCTACCTCCCATCATCCTCATGTTCTCATCTACCGTAATGATCATTAAAAAGAAAATGGACCACCCAAGAAGAGGTACTTGAACCGCTACTAGGTCCTTTCGTATGCTCCGTCCCGTCTACTCTAGTGATGCACATGATACTCTATTNNCAGCCAACCCTAGCCATTATTATACTTATTTTGAAGCTCTATGTGTCCCGAATTCAAATTTTAAAATTTCAAAAGCAGATTTTCAGTTTTTATAAAGTTATAAACGTTTTTCAAAAAAACTTGTTTTTTGGAATTTTTGAAAAATCCAAAAATTCTCGAAATTTTGCTCCAAGCGATCTCAAACTACGATTATTAAGTTTTCCACGTCAAAAGCTTCAAATTGAGTATAATCATGACCCACTTTGCAATATTCCGATTTTCCAGTCGGATTACTGTAGTTTTCGCGACGAGACCCAACTTGAAGCAAACCTATACTTGTTTATACTCATTTTGAAGCTCTCAACAAGTCAAACTCAAATTCATAAGTTTCAAAACGATGAATTTTATTTGAAAAGAGTAATGGGAGATTTAAAAAAAACACTTTTTTGAAATTTTTTTTTCAGGACAATCCAGGTGCCCATGATGAATTTGTGAAGATCAACAAAGCCTACGAAGTACTGAAAGATGAGAATTTGAGAAAAAAATACGATCAATTTGGAGAAAAAGGGTTGGAAGACGGGTTTCAAGGAGGCAATAATTATCAGAGTTGGCAATTTTATAATGATAATTTTGGAATTTACGATGAGGATCAGGAAATTGTGACTCTCAATAGGGCGGACTTTCAACGAATGGTTTCTGATTCGAATGAGATTTGGTTTATCAATTTCTACTCGACTTATTGCTCACATTGCCATCAGCTAGCTCCTACAGTAAGATTTTTGAAATTTTTTTTGTATTTGGAAATTCGGAGATTTTGAAATTTCGAGATTCAATTCAAAAAAAAAAAAAAATCAGAAAATCCAATTTCTTCTAGTCCAATTTTTGGATTTTTTTTGAAACGTTCCCAAATTTCGAATTCTTTGACTTTTCCGTTTTCTAAACGTTATATCTCATTTTTGAGTTTTCCGGGGGTCCATGCGCCTTTAAACCGAAAATCCCAAAGTGGGCGGAGCCTAGTCGTGTTTATACTCATTTTGAAGCTCTAATTGTAACAAATTTGAATATCATGTTTACCAAACGAAAAAGTCAAAATTTCGAAATTTGGGACCGTTTCAAAATTTTCTCAACGCAAGAACTACAGTAACTCCAGCGGGATCATTTTTAGCGCTCGGAAAACATTAAATTCAGACTTGTTGTAATTAGGGCTTCAAAATGAGTATACTCATGACCTACTTTCCGGAACTTAAATTTTTCGCGGGGTCCATGCGCCTTTAAACCGAAATCTCAAAGTGGGCGGAGCCTAGTCGTGTTTATACTCATTTTGAAGCTCTAATTGTAACAAATTTGAATATCATGTTTACCAAACGAAAAAGTCAAAATTTCGAAATTTGGGACCGTTTCAAAATTTTCTCAACGCAAAAACTACAGTAACTCCAGCGGGATCATTTTTAGCGCTCGGAAAACATTAAATTCAGACTTGTTGTGATTAGGGCTTCAAAATGAGTATACTCATGACCTACTTTCCGGAACTTAAATTTTCCGCGGGGTCCATGCGCCTTTAAACCGAAATCTCAAAGTGGGCGGAGCCTAGTCGTGTTTATACTCATTTTGAAGCTCTGAACCTGCCAAGTTTGACAATTTATGTTTCATTTCGTTTATAGTAAGAGTAAGGAAGTTAGAGCCAAATTACCAAAAAAAGAATTTGGCATTTCAAAAATAGCCATAACTTTGTCAATGCCTGGTCGATGTTGCTGGTTTTTGGTTTACAATGACACCGAGACTCTGAGTTAGAATTTATCAAACGAAAAAGTCAAAAATTCGAAGTTTGGGACCGTTTCAAAATTTTCGGAAAAATCATTTGGCACCAAACCCTAACACGAGAACTACAGTAATCACAGTGGGACCATATTTGAAGTTTGGAAAATATAAGATTTAATTGTGCCGTGTTTAGAGCTTCAAAATGAGTACAAACAAGCCTTGGTTTGTTACAAGTTTGGTCCAGCCGCGAAAACTACAGTAATCCTAGCGGAACCACTTAAAGAGCAAAGTAGGGCATGATTATACTCATTTTAAAGCCCTCAACGTCCCAAATTCAAAAATCTAGGTTTCATTTGATTCGGATGAATAATAGGGGAGCTATCTTGATTTTAGTTGACAAAAAACACGAAATTCCAAAAATAACTATAACTTTGTCAATTCTGGTCCAATTTTTATCATTTTTAGCTCAAAATGCTCCTAATTTTTCTAATATCAAAATTCCAAAAATTCAATTTTCCAGTGGCGCAAATTCGCTCGTGAAATCGAGGGAACCATTCGAGTGGGTGCTGTGAACTGCGCCGAAGATCCTCAACTGTGTCAATCTCAACGAGTCAACGCCTATCCGTCCCTAGTTTTTTATCCAACCGGCGAATTCTATCAAGGGCATCGTGACGTCGAACTTATGGTCGATTTTGTGATTCAGCGGCTGAAATCTGAAGTTTTACACTTGAATTCTGAGAATTGGAAGGCTTTGAGCGAAGATTGGGAACCCTACAATCGACTTCCATGGATTGTAGACATGTGTGGAGGAGATAATATTGAGTGTTTGAGCTCTACGACAAGGTAAGCTGAAATGATGGAAAAGTCGAATTTGGGGGCGTTAGGAGTTTCAAAATGAATATATAAGCATGCCTTGAAGCCGCAAAACCTACAGTAATCACGCTTGGAAAACACTATGTTTTAATTTAGAACGTTGAGAGCTTCAAAATAAGTATAAACACGGCTAGTTTTGCTTCAAATTTGGGTCTTGCCGCGAAAACTACAGTATCCCGGGCGAAAAATCAAAATCGAGCAAGATGGGTCATGATTATACTCATTTTGAAGCTCTCAACACCTAAAATCTGAAAATTAACATTTGAAAACAATAATAGGAAATTTCAGAAAGTTATGGAATTTTCAATATTCAAAAAAATTCCTAACTTATATTTGAATTGCTCACAACTCTTGGATATCTAATTTGAACGCTTCGAAAACATTATTTTCAAGTTTATTATGATTAGAGCTTCAAAATGAGTATATACAAGCTTAGGTTTCAAAAAACTACAGTAATTACAGAGTTAAAGGTGCATGAGGGCAAAATTTTTGAAAGTCAAAAACCTCTTCAAACAATTCAAATTTTACAGCAAAACCTAAAATTTGAATTTGTAGCGTTGCGAGCTTCAAAATGAGTATACTCATGACCCACTTTGCTCTATTTTGAATTTCCGGTGGGATTACTGTAGTTTTCGCGGCGAGATCCACTTAAAACAAGACTAGTCATGTTTATACTCATTTTGAAGCTTTAACTGAGCTGATAAAGAATATGTTATTTATTTTTTGATAACCTAATGATTTTCAGACGAAAACTCTCCTCAATGCTGGATGGACTTGCCAACGTGGCAACAATTGACTGTCACTCTGAAGAAGAGCTCTGTTCGAAATTCGATCATTCTAGTGGTGTCATGTGGTTCCCAGCAAGAAAATTAGAGAAAAAAAGCCAAATAAATATTGAAAGTATGGATGCACAGGAGATCACAAAGCATGTCATTGAGTATTTGGAAGAGCTTCCATGGATTGAGGCAGACAGCCTTCAGCGTTTTCTGGGTAAATTTGAAAGTTAAAAATTTGGATTTAGGATGAAAAGAGCTTCAAAACAAGTATAAAAAAGCCTAGGTTTGCTTCACGCTTCAAAATTCGGGATTATCATAGATTTAAAGGCGCATGTTTTTCACGAAAAATCAAACATCTCTTCCAAAATCCGAAAAATCGTTTTGAAACTTAAAAATTTGAATCTTACGCGTTAAGAGCTTCAAAATGAGTATAAACATGCCTATGTTTGCTTCAAGTTGGGTATCACCGCGAAAACTACAGTAATCCCAGTCAAAAATTAAAATAAAGCTAAGTGGGTCATGAGTCTACTCAATTTAAAGCTCTGAACAAGGCAAGTTCAAAAATCAATTTTTCAAAACGACACTATGAAAATTCAGAAAGTTAGGACGCTTTCAACATAATTTTTTAAAGAAATATTGAAAAATCTCATAATTCTCTCAATTTTGCTCCAAACAGCTTAAACTCGCACATTTTGAATTTTTAATGTCAAGAGCTTCAAAATGAGTATAAACAAGCCTAGATGTTATTCAAGTTGGGTCTTATCGCGAAAACTACAGTAATCCCAGTCAAAAATTAAAATGGAGCAAAGTGGGTCATGAGTATACTCATTTTGAAGCTCTAAACGCGCTGATTTTGAAAATTTTGGTCAGAGAGTTCAAACAAAGCCTAACAGCTAAAAACTCAATTTTAAAATTCAAATTTTTCAGAGGGGAACGATCCGGATGAGGCGATTGCAGTTTGGATGTTGGCCAATGAGGTTCAGGCGACGCAGAAAAAAGATTTCCGACGACTTCCCGCTCTAATTGACAACCAAATTTTCTCATTTGATTGCTCAAAATCAGAAATCTGTGATGATTTGGTTGATAAGACCAAATTACCCCAATTTATAGTTTTCAAACCAACTGGAGGTTATGAAATCGACTACGCAGGTGCTAAGGACTTCCATTCTGCTAGTATTTTCATTCGAGAAGCTTCGAAATCCCATATCCACGTCTTAAATCGAGATTCTTATGAGTACGCAATCAGTGGCGGTGAATTCTATATTATCGACTATTTTGCACCGGTAGGAGTTTTTTGATCTACTTGAAATTAGGAAACTTGAATTTGGAATGTTTAGAGCTTTTTTTATATTTTTTCGGATTTTCTCAAAACCTGACATAACCTTTTTATTGTCGTTTCAAGCAATCTTAAACTACAATTTTTAATTTTTTCACGTCGTGAGCTTCAAAATGAGTATACTCATGACCTACTTTTCTCCATTTTGGATTTTCCGGGGGTCCATGTGCGCCTTTTAACCTAAAATCCCAAAGTGGGCGGAGCCTAATCGTGTTTATACTCATTTTGAAGCTCGAATCATGGCAAGCTTGGATATGTTGTTTTCCAAACAAAAAAGCCAAAATTTCGAAATTTAGGGATGTTTCAAAATAATTCCGAAAAAAACTTTGAAAAATCGAAATTTCTCTAATTTGCTGAATTTATGTCGTAACTTTCTGAAAACACGATTTTTGGTTTTTACGTGTCAAGAGCTTCAAAATGAGTACAAACATGCCCAGGTTGGCTTCACGCTGGGTCTTGCCGCGAAAACTACAGTAATCCTAGCGGGACCAACGAAAAATCAAAATCAAGGAAAGTGGGTCATGATGATACTTATTTTGAAGCTTTCAACGTTCCAAATTCAAATATTTAAGTCTCAAGACTACTGTACCTACTGTATGAACAGAATTTCTAAAATTATATTGCTCAGTGGTGCCCACCTTGCCTAAAACTGCTCGGCGAGTACCGTCGCTTCCACACCGCCACCTCCGAAGACAGTATCCTTCATACTGTAGCTATTGGATCCCTAGACTGCGTGAAATTCAAAGATCTATGTCAAACGGCAGGCGTGGGAAGTTATCCAACCTCAATTGTCTATACACCAGACGGAAAACAGCACAAATTGGTTGGATTTCATAATTTGGATTATATTCTGGAGTTCCTGGACAATGCCATGAATCCGTCTGTCCTAGAGATGAGCCCTGAGCAATTTGAAGAGCTGGTAATCAATAGAAAAGACGAGGAGACTTGGTTGGTGGACTTCTTTGCTCCCTGGTGTGGACCATGCCAACAATTGGCTCCGGAACTTCAAAAAGCGGCGAGAGTCATTAAAAATTATGACGAGAATGCGTTTGTGGCATCTGTTGACTGCCAGAAATACGCACAGTTTTGTAAGGAGACCCAAATTAATAGCTATCCAACTGTGAGAATGTTCCCGGCCAAGAAGACCAAGCAACCAAGGAGAGCCGCTTTTTAGTGAGTTTTTTTTCTTCTTTTAAGCGCTTCATTTTAAGCCAAAAATCAGGAAAATTGACCCAAAATTGACAAAGTTATAGTTATTTTTTTTAATGCCTAAATGTTTTTTTTTGGTAATTTGGCTCTAACTTCCTTACTCTTACTCCGAACAATATGAAACGTAAATTTTCAAACTTGGCAGGTTCAGAGCTTCAAAATGAGTATAAACACGACTAGGCTCCGCCCACTTTGCGATTTTCGGTTTAAAGGCGCATGGACCCCGCGAAAAATTTAAGTTCCGGAAAGTAGGTCATGAGTATACTCATTTTGAAGCCCTGATTACAACAAGTCAGAATCTAATGTTTTACGAGTGCTAAAAATGATCCCGCTGGGATTACTGTAGTTCTTGCGTTGAGAAAATTTTGAAACGGTCCCAAATTTCGAAACGTTGACTTTTTCGTTTGTTAAAAATTATATTCGCACTTGTTACGATTAGAGCTTCAGAATGAGTACAAACACGACTAGGCTCCGCCCACTTTGGGATTTTCGGTTTAAAGGCGCATGAACCCCCAGAAAATTCAAAATCGAGGAAACGGGGTCATGCGTATACACATTTCGAAGCTCTCGAAACGGCAAATTCAAAAATGATAGTTTCAACTTGACTGGCGTAAAATTCGGAAAGTTATGGGATTCTAAAATTTTTTGAAGAAACAATTGATAAAAATTGAAATCGTTCTGACTTTTTGAATTTTTGTCTAAGAGCTCTGAAAACATGATTTTTGGTTTTTACATGTTCTGAGCTTCAAAAGGAGTACACTCATGACCTAGAATACTTGATTATGATTTTTCAAAAGGTCCATGCGCCTTTAAACCGAAAATCTCAATGTGGGCGGAGCATAGGCGTGTTTATACTTATTTTGAAGAACATTTTGCCTGGAATCGGAATACAGTAGCCTAAAATTGATAAAATGAAAATTCAGCTAGTTCAGGGCAATCTTCTTTCAGCGACTACCCGAATCACATGTGGCGCAATGCGGATTCGATTCACAGATGGGTCTATAACTTCCTTCCCACCGAAGTGGTCACTTTGGGAAATGATTTCTCATCTACCGTACTCGACTCTTCCGAACCATGGATAGTGGACTTTTTCGCCCCATGGTGCGGCCATTGTATTCAATTCGCCCCCATTTATGATCAAATCGCCAAGGAGTTGGCTGGAAAAGTGAACTTCGCCAAAGTGGACTGTGATCAGTGGCCAGGAGTGTGTCAGGGGGCTCAAGTAAGAGCCTATCCCACCATAAGACTGTACACTGGCAAAACCGGATGGTCCAGACAGGATTCGCAGGGTTACGGTATCGGAACACAGCATAAGGAGCAGTTTATACAGATTGTCAAGCAGCACTTGAAGCTTCATGATGAATTGTGATCGATTTATTGATTTTTTGTTTCTTTGCATAATTTTCTCATTTATACTGGTCCATTTTCTAGTGCTTTTTGTTTTTAAAATGTTTTAAATTATTTCAATAATAAATTATTTGGTTTTAAGGAACAGGAAAAGCAGAAAATTTGAATTTTTTTGCAGTTTTTTTTTGGAAAAAAAAACGAAATTTGCCGATTTTTATTAATAAAAATTTTAATTTTAATATAATTTTTCAGAAAATTTTTGAGCTATTTTTATTAAAATTTTCAAAAGAACCAATTTTTGAAATTTATTAATCCTTTTTTTCTGACTGAAAAGTGCAAAAAATCGATAAATTCGCACAGATTTTCAGTCAATACACAATTTAAAAGCGCATGCCGATTTTTCCCACTCTTTTTTGGGTCTCGACAGGAAAACAGGTGGACCGGTGCAGACAGCGGTCCCAAACCATCTGTTGTCCTCTTCCTTTGCCTCCTCCCTCTTTTTCTGCGTCTCTTCGATTTCCACACTCTCTCTCGCCTTCTCACCATTTAAATGACCCTCTCTCTTGTCTCAGACACCGTCCTCCTTCCTTACAAAATTGTCCCTTTTTATTGATTTTGGCATCTTTTATGGCCTAAAATCTCGAAAATTTCGAAAAATCGCTCATTTTTTTTCGTTCCAGCCAAATTTCACTGGAGCGCATTTGCAATTTTCCATTTTTTTTTTTCAGCAATATTTTTTTCAGTCAGTTTTTGCGAAATTCTTGTAGAAAAAACCCCCAAAAAGTAAGAAATTCGAAATTTACAAAAAAAAATATTTTTCGCCGAATTTCGCTAGAGCGAATTTGCAAAGTTGCATTTTCTAAAGCCTATTTTTTTGGATTTTTTTCTTTTTTTCAGAAAAATGATCGCAGGAATTCTTGAAAACCAAGAAAACTGTCTTCCAACGACGTCAGAGGATTCAGAATCGGAAAAATTGGAAATTCCTGAAATCGGAAAATCTGAAAAATCTGAAAAATCAGAACATCGAGAAGACGTCAGACCAGAATCTCCGGGACCTTCAAAATCTGAAAAATCTAAATTTTTCACTAAAAATGATTTTTTATTGGCATTGGCGGAAAACCTAAAGTTTTGAGAATCGAGCAAAAATCAGTGATTGAAAACGATGACGATAAACCGTATATCGAGGTGAAAACTGAAAACTTTGGTTGGGCGGGAAATTTGAAAAAATAAAAAAAAATTTTTGGTTTTTTTTCCAATAGAGCAAGTTTTCTACATGCATTCCTATGAAAATCGCTAACTTTTACCCGCGAAAATTTGGAATTTCAAAAATTTCAATAGAGCGAATTTTCGAAAAAAAAAAATTTTTTTTTTTGCTTTTTTGCCTATAATTGTAATTTTTATTCCAGTGGAAACGTCTGGAATGTCCCATTTGTGAACTTCAAATCGAAAATACCAGACTTTTGGCGGCTCATTTGGTTAATGAGCACGGCAGGGAGCATGAAAAGGGGTACTTTTCGATGGATAGATTAATACCGAAAAAATTGGAAATTTCATACAATTTTGCAGTTAGAAAACAGAGGGAGTGCAGTTTTGTTAAAAGGTGAATTTTTGAAAAAAAAATGTGAAAAAAAGAATTTTTTGAAAAAAAATTTTTTTTTGAAATTTTGAATTTTTTTCAAAAATTTCATATTTTTTTCAACTTGTTTTTCTAAAAATTAAAGAATAATTTATTCAGAAAAATTCAAAAATCCACAAAACGGGCTAAGGATACGGTGCTCTATTGTCCGCTGAGCAATCCGCTGGCGCCATTTTTGATGATTCGAAGTTTAGCGGTTTATTCTGATGGAATCAATGAAGAAATTGAGGGATTTAAAATCGATATTCAGGTGGGTGAGCAGGCGGGAAATTTGAAAATTTTGAAAAAAAAAATTTCGAAAATTTTTTTCAGACATTTTTTTTTCGAAATTTCTTTTCAAATGTCTGTAAATTAAAATTTCAGCAGAAAACTTTTTTTTGAAAAAAATTTTTTTTTCTGAAAATTTCAAAAAATCTCAGACCGCATCGTCCGAATCGCCGTTTCCAGTCATTTTCTCATGGTATTTCGTAGATCAAACAATTCAAAATATTCAAGAACGACGAAAAAAACGACAGAATGAAAAGTGAGATTTTACCCCTTTTTTGGAATATCGATTATCGATTTTTTTTTCCAGAAAAATCGATTTTTTGCAAAAAGAAGCTGGAAAATGGATCGAGCGAAATGATCTGCTCACGAAACGAGCTAAAACCGCTGAAGAGCAAAAATTGTTGGCTCAAGCGCTGAAAATGCCGCTGAAATTCACGCGGGAGGATGTAGATCAAAAACTAAAGGAGTATAAGAAAATGAGAGAGGAGGAAGAGAAACGAGAGCAGGAAGAGGAAAAAATGTAGGTTGAATCGATCAAATATTGATTTTTTGAAAGAAAAATTGATTTTGAACTTTTTTTGAAAAATTCGAAAATTATTGATTTTTTCGAAATTTCTCGAATCTTTGGTCGATTAACCGACACAATCGACATTTTTGAAGGTCTTACAAATCAAAAACACTCAATTTTGTCCCCGAAATTTTCAAAATTATCGGTTTTTTCGAATTTTTTCAAATTATCGATTTTTTGCAGAAATGCCAAATCCAGCGGCCTAAACAAGGATGGCACCAAAATGAGCAATGTTATAAAGGCGCTCCATTCGACACTGGTGCCTGACGGAGCACTTTCGCGGAAACGAGCCGCCGCTGATAAGGCGACAGAAGCGATAGCGCAGAAAAAGAAGAAAAATCGATAATCGAATTTTTACAATTTTTGAAAATTATCCAATTTTATCGCTTTATTTGCCCAATTTTTCCATGAAAATACTCTTTTTCGAATAAAAATTACTGCAATTTTATTGATTTTTTCTTTCTTTTTTTCAAAAAATTCAAAATTTTGAAAAAAACTTTTTTTTCTAGGTCATGACCTAATTTTTTCTAGGTCATGACCTAATTTTTTCTAGGGCATGACCTAATTTTTTCTAGGTCATGACCTACTTTTTTCTAGGGCATGACCTAATTTTTTCTAGGTGATAACCTTATTTTTTCCAGGTCATGACCTATTTTTTCTAGAAACTGAAAAAAGCGTGAAAAACGGGAAAATTTTCGATTTTTTGAAAATTTTAACTTCCCGCGCGAGAGGGAAAACGCGCTCCACTGCAAATTGCCACATTTTCAGCAAATTTCCAGCGATTTTTGCTCGTTTTCAGCCGAATTTTTTGTATTTTTTTGAGGAAATTGTCTTTAAAAAATTATAAAATAAATTGAAGTTTGTTGTCAACCAGTTTCAGCTCGAAAATTTGTCTGAAAATCTGGAAATTCGAAAAAATCAGTTTTTCCAGAAAATGTTCAAAATTCTCTCAATTTTTCTCCTGTTTTCTCCAATTTTAGCCTACGATGCAATCATATTTTCAAATCACAAATCGATAAGGTAATTATCGATTTCTTCCCTAATTATTTATAATTAATTATAGCTAATTTCAGAGGAATTTCCATAGAAAATCTGCTGAAAGATGCTACTGCCGATGAGCCAATTGTGATTATAACAAACCAAAATTTCACACTAGGTACTAAAAATCGATAATCGATTTTTCGGAAAATCAATATTTTCCAGGTCAATTCTCCATGAAAGCCAATGCGTACTCCTCTGAGCCAATTATCGATTTTTTGGCGAATTCTGTGAAAAATAGCAAATTTCATGAGTCGAGAAATTTGGTAGATCAAATTGAGGTGAAATATGAAAAATCGATTTTATTGATTTTTGAGCGCTTTCAAGCGATTCTAGACTGGAAATTTTTGTAGAAATCTATTATTTCAGGCCCCGAATTCCCAAAAAATCGATAATTTCCAACCCGGATCGTCGATTCATATAATTTCCGGCGAAAGTTGGGATGAAATGGTGGAGAAATTCACAAATTTCGAAAAAATCGATAATCGAGCCATCATGATTTTGACGTCTTCTGAAGCGATTTCCACCGGAAAAAATCGAAAAAATCGATTGAAGCGAAGCTCCGTACCTTTAGGTGCCTTCCCTTTTCCATTGATTATTCCTCCTTATGGCAATCCGAAAGTCAATATAACCCGAAAAATCAATGAAACGTGTCTATTCTATTTGGGAGGGGTTACTGTAGTTGTGGAGAATAAGCTGAGCAATCAGAAGACGTTATTCGCATCGGCAATGGTTCCAGGAGCGAACTTGACGTATTCTCATGCGCTAGAAGACGTGAAATGTGAAAAAGGAGCATTTGGAAATTTCATTTTTCGATTTCGACTGAAATTGGCGAAAGAAATTTCTGGAAAAATCGATAATTCGAAAAGTTCAGAAAAATTTGTGCTGAGCAATGGCGATTTTATCGATTTTAGCTTGAAATTCCATGGAGATTTTTGGGGATACTGGAGGTTGATTGGAGCGACAATGCATAGTATCGGAGTCGAGGGACGGGAGGGGTGGAAGGTGAAAATTTCAGAAATTCAGAATTTTGAAATTTTTCAAAAATTTCAAAATATTCAAAAACACGAAACTTAAATTTTCGAAGATTCGAAAATTTGAAAATTCGCGATTTTCAGAAAAATTGAATTTTCCAAAAATTTAAAAAACCTCGAATTTCAAAATTTTTCGAAAGTTCGAAAAATTTTCATTTTTCAAAAATTCAGAAATTTAAAAATCCGAATTTGAAGTTGAATTTTTCCAGAAATTTGTCAAAATTTTAAAATTTCAAAATTTGAAAAAATAGGAATTTCAAATTTTGCAAAAACCGCGAATTTCGAATTTTTCAGAAAATCGAAATTTTTAAAATTCTGAATTTTTCTAAAATTTAGAAATTCTCATGATCCCAAAATTCTTGAAAACTGCAAGTTTTTAAAATTTCCGATTTTTCGAAATTCAAAAAAATTTTTAACGTTTTCAAATTTTTTGAATTTTCAATATTTTTAAAATTAGCGATTTTCAGAAATTTTCAGAATATTTCAAATCTCGAAAATCTGAAATTCAAAAAAATCAAAAATTTTTTAAAATCCATGATTTTCAGAAATTCAGAAAAATTCCAAAAAAAAACCCAAAAACCTCAAATTTCAATTTTTCGAAAATTCGAAAAATTTTATATATTTGAAATTCGCCATTTTCACAAACACAGAAGTTTCAAAATTTGGCAAAAATTTTAAAAATAAAAATTGAAAAACCTCAATTTTTAAAATTTTTCAAAAAATTCGGAAATCTCAAAATTTGAAGTTCGTCAGAAGTTCAGAAAAATTCATAATAATCAGTAATTCGGAAATTTCAAATTTTAAAAAATTTAGGAATTTTAAAATTTTCAATGCCGAAACCCCAAAAATTCCATTTCCAGACCCTCAAATCCGTGGACCAAACAATCGGCCCAAACGACACGAAATTCTCGAAACTCGCCTCAATCTCTGGCTTCTCCCTAACCTGCCATCAATCCCAAGCTCTCTTCTTCCCAACCAACGACCCGAAGTTTCGAATCGGAATCAGTCTAATCAATTCCCAAATTCAAACATTCACTGATCCCAAAATTTGGGACAAAATGGGACCACGATTCAGTCTTCAGACGGAAAACTGCACTGGAACATTCTCTCCAGGCTCTTTGATGGGAATTCTGACGTCACTTGTGATGACCGGAGGCGTGATTTTTGCATTCTGGATGCTCCAATCGATAAAGACGCCCGATCGATTCGATGACCCAAAGAAGACCAAGCAAATTGTTATTAATGAGAAAAACTAGTTATTTTATTGTTCCTTTTTTCTGTTTTTTATTGTTTTTATCATGTCAAAAATCATTTATCTTTTATAAAGTAAAGCCTATTTATCGATTTTTTCCCTTGTGCGCGTTATTTCCACTGCCGTCCGCAAAACCGCACAGTGGCAATTTTTTTCAGGATTTTAAGCGAATTTTTATTGGAAGATTAGCAAATTGAGCAATAAAATACAATATAAAACAAGAATATTCATCAAAAATCAGAATTTGAGTTTCCCGAAAATCTTGGAATCGGCAATTTGTGAATTTTCGATTCTGCAATTGGAAATGACGACGTTGTGAAGTTCGGAGCGAACGATATTCGAATCGATGATCATTGGTTCGGTCTGGAAGAAGAAAAATCGGCCATCCCGATTTTTCTAGGCCATTTTTACCGATTTCGAAGTTTCCGGAGCGATTTTGGTGGTTGAAATCGCTTGATTTTCATTTGAATAATTATCGATTGGCTCTTCCTTGACATTATCGATCGGGAATGATCTAGAAAATCGATATTTTGATTTTCGAGGAGATTTTTTTTACTTTGGAGCCTTCGTTGCCGGCTTTTCTGATTCGGATGACCCGAGTCGGAATTCAGATCGCAGTGGACTTCTTCGGCATGAGCTATTTTGCTGAAAAATCGAAATAATTGGCGAAAAATAGCCCAAAAATGACGAATTTCAGAATTCCCCCGTCTCTGCGTCTCTCAGTTTACCACACTCTCTCGCTTTGAGAATGGATTTTCGAAAATTTGCATCATTTTCGAAATCCCTGTTTTTCTGGGTCATTTTTCGTCATTTTTTGCTGATTTTTGAGTATTTTACATTGGAATTTTCGAGAATTTTTTGGGATTTAGGAAAATTTTTTTGTTTGTCTGCCTGTCTGAAAATTATAGAATTTATTGTATTTTTCATATTTTTCTAGAATTTTCGAATTTTTTTTTGAAATAATGATTTTTTATGATTGTCTGTGGGTTCGAAAATTTTTGAATTTCCTGCTCTTTGTTCATATTTTCGAAAAAAAAAAGTGAGAATTTTTCTAATTTTCGGGAATTTCAGACACATTTTCAACTGGATTTTTCAGAAAGATTTGTCTCTTTCTCAATTTTTTTTGTTATTGAATTTTATTGAATTAGAGCTGTTTTTTTACAGAATTCCCTCAAATTTCAAAAAATTTGCATAAAAATAATTTAAAAAAAAAAAATCGAAAAATCGAAAAAATAGGCCAGAAATTTTTTTTAATAAAAAATCATGTTTCTTTAAAGATGTATTTTTTAGGCCAAAAAATTGAAGCTGTGGAAGAGAAACCCCGATGTCCGAAGGTCCCACAACGACAACTACCGTAACCTGAAATATTTTTTCCCGGTCTTTTTCGTGAGTTTTCAATCATTTTTTCCCTAAAAAAACAAGAAATTCGTCAAAAAGCTTAAAAAACGATTTTCTGTTCAAGAATCCGTCAAATCTAAAAAATCTAGAACTTTCTAAAAATACTAACTTCCCCGTCATGCTCTTGCTTAACAACTTTCAGCATTTCCTGAGGTTTTGTTGCTGGAGCCATCATCATTTGAGAGTCTGTTTTCAAAAAAAAAACTGTGGCTAGTCTGAAATTTCTGAAAATTTGCAGAAAAAACTAACAAAAAATAAGAAACATGAAAATCACCGAAAATTACAGGGTAATATGAATTAAAAGTGTAGTAGATCTGAAGAAATGTTCAGATTTATTGGGTGGGAAATAACAGGAGAATCGAGAAAATTGAAATATTTTTGGGTTACGGTAGTTGTCTCTTCCATCGCACCATTGAGAAACCGCGCGCAGACACGCAACGCGTCCAAAATTGGCTTGACGCCAATTTTCAATATGAGGTTCCCTTCGGTGATGTGATAGTGTTCTACAAAAAAAAAATAATTTTTAGGATTACGGTTATTGTCGTTGTGGGACCTCTGATTTTTTTTTTCGTACCTGAATAATAAGACGAATCAGGAATCGAGAAAAATAAAGGAGGAGGGACAGGAGATTTTTCGGAATCTCTTTTTGGAGTTAAGGTAGGCATTCTGACATCACTTGGCTATCATGTGGCTTCTATACATGACAGTAGATGCTGAAAATAAGACCCAAGTCGGTGCTATGTGCTCAGAAACGGGAAGTGGTCCTCGTTGATCATCTGAAAAATAACCTGAGAAAATTGAGTTTTTTTGGACCCACTATTGCGCCTACCGAATCTTCCGAACTCCAGCTAGGGTTTTTTTCCGGAATTTAGGTCCTCTTAAGTGGTCCTCATGTGTCATCTGAAAGAAGAAATTGATAAAATTGATATGTATTGGACTTACCATTGTGCCTACCGTATCTTCCAAGTCATTTTTTTCCAATTTTTTTCCCACGACGATGTATAGCAGAGAGACTCGAACAGTCCGTGGTCCGTTGGTGGCTGAGCTCCGTTTTCTTTTCCATCGCTTCATTCCATCGGAAATCTATGTTGGTTTTCAAAATTGTTGTCATTCCTTATGGCGCGTTTACAGATGATAACTAAAAAAAGTTGATTTCCAGGAGTGATTTCCTGGAAAAACGCTGTCCAAAGCTGCCATTGTTTACCAGAGGGCTCCGCTTCGAGGGCCGCCGTAAATCGACATGAATC